ACCCAACACCCCCCAGACCCCCACTCTCCACGCCTCTAAGCCGGCTGGTGCACCCAACACCCCCCAGACCCCCACTCTCCACGCCTCTAAGCCGGCTGGTGCACCCAACACCCCCCAGACCCCCACTCTCCACGCCTCTAAGCTGGCTGGTGCACACTGAACAGCACTGTTCAACCGTGAGCCACATGAGTCATTCCAAACACACCAGAAAACACACAATAAAAAGCAGAAACGGGTGAGATTTGCTTTAATATATTTTATTTAATGTGATATATCCAAAATATCATTTTAACATGCAATCAATATAAAATTGTTTTCATGTCCCCAAGCCTATATTGAGGATTGAACCCAAATCTTCACTGAACTACATCCCCAGCCTTTTTCTGTTTTTTATTCCGAGACAGGATCTTGCTAAGTAACCCGGGCTGGGACTGCACTGGAGCTCCTGCCTCAGCCTCTGTGCACCAATGCGCCGGCTCCCACTCCTCTTAGTACTCGGCCTCTGAGATCCAGTGTGTGCTGTACAATGACAAAATGCCTCAACTCGGACTGCTCCAGAGTCACACTTGGCCCCTTGGACAGGGCAGGTGTAAGTCTAACGGGAAAGTGAGCTTCCAGTCTACCTTCACTGCGGCTGCGTTAAGCCCAGAGCTAACCAAAATAAACACGAGGCTGCGTCTGTGGAAAAGCTCGCGGTCACACCAGCAGAGTTCAGAACTCCTCATCCACCTGACTGGGCAGCCCTGCAGGGCTGGGACAGACAGACCCTAACACAAGGGCAGAAGAATGAGCGGGGCTTTCATACCACCAAATAACGCAAACTCACCAACAGCACACGGCCTTCGAGGATTGGTTGCGTAAATCCACCGACTGACTTTCTCTCCCCAGAGACCCGAGTTCTATCTAAAGAAGCCCAGATTTGGGGCCTGCAGAGCTGCACCATGTCTCAGGAATGTAGATTTCACTTCAAAGGCCCCTGAGGTTTTCTTTTTACGCCCAGGTCCTTCGGTGATCGCACACAGCTGGTGAGCGCCTCTGAGTACCTCTCGTGGGCCTGCCTGCAGCACTGACTGGGTCGCGCTGCCTGTGGCAGAGCAGAGGTGGGCCTGGAGGGGAGCTTTCAAGGTCCCCACAGCACAGCGGTACTTCCCTTTTACCGACACAGAACATGGAAGCATCGCCCAGCTGGGGAGAAGGAACACCGAGTTTCCGCACTCCTCAGGAGCAGGACTCCGGGGCCCCTTCCGCACGGCTTCGTCATTCACCATCTCGCTCTGACTAGCCTGGGCCCCCAGGCTCCCCTCATTATCCAGTTCCATTTTCAGCTCCTCGGCCTCTGAAGCTGGCCTACTTTTCAAAGCCTTGGGAGCAGAAAAACTCAGGCATCCTACAGACAACGGGACATATCTGGGACATGGGATGTGGGGGGAGGGGCAGCCCTGCTGTGCACCGAGGCTGGGAGGAAGCAGGCCACCTGGAGAAACAGCCAAGGGGAGGGAGTGGGCAGGCACTGCATGACAGAGCAGGCTCTGGCCACTGGCACGCTGGAAAACTGAGCTGGAGACCACGTGGCACCACCCAAGCTCGCTTTACCTCCGATAAGGGCTCAGCAGGCCACTCGGCTTACGGTGGTCACCTGAGTGGCTCAGACATGAAGGCGCACATCTCTGGCAAGACCACAGGGACACTGGGTGGACACAGTAACTGCCCTGGGCATCTGAGAGGAGCGCAGCAGAGAGCCGCTCTCCGCACTCTCACTCTGAGGGACTGTCTTGTGGAACAATGGCCAGAAATATGCCTTTCAGGGAGGTGAAAAGTCAAGGAGACTCCACCAGGATTTGTCTGGACTTCTGGCTCTACTGACATCTTAGCCTGGAAAGTCATCTGCTGCTTTGTCAAGAGCATGGAATGTGTCAGGGACATATCCCCAGATCACAGGGCCTCTGGGTGCAGGAGGTGCTGCCCGACTCTGCAGTCTCCCCTGAGCCGGCCATAGTGGTGAGCTGCACTTCAGTTGCCCTGGTTGGCTCCTCTAGGGACACGGCTGGCCCCACCACTGCCAGTGTATACCAGGGGCAGGCCTGCAATCTGCTCCTCGGTGCGGACGTGCAAGGCAAGGCCAAGGCCCGCGAGGAGCCACTCAGTCGCGGAGTGGGAACCAGCGGAGCTGGGCACACACAGCCTTTTGGATCCGGTGCAAGAGCTGAGCCAGCTGGTAGAGGAAGGGCAGGGAAGGAGGAGACGCTGCAGGGACAGATGGGAAAGGCCGCTGTGAGTGCCTCTTCCTCCGCTCCCTTTCTCAGTTCCAGCACTGAGCCCAGAGAATGCTGAGTTCCACCCCAGCCCCATTTCACGATGGGGTATCCTAGCTGCTCAGGCTAGGTTTGAATTTTCAACCCTCCTGCCTCTGCCTCATAAGTAGCTGGGATTACAAGGTGTACCACATAGTGCTCAGCATCAGGCTCAGCCCTCAGAGCCCACTGCTGGGGATTCTGCAGTGGTTGTAATCAGCAAGTTGGTGCTTCCTGTTATGTGCATCCTCCTCACTAACATACACTTTCACTTCTCTGGAATGTGTCTTCTTAAAGTATAGTGATCCTAAATTCACTGAGAATTTAATCTAGATTATATTTTCACTCAACTTTTTGATATATATGAAACTGATAAGAGTGCCTGCCTCTAGGAGAAACTGGGGAGGCTTTCACTGCATTTTTAATTTTTCTATGCCTTTTAAATTTGGAGAGATCTGAGAGCATCATCTTTAATTGTGTGTGTGTGCTCAGTGCTGGTGATGGAAAGGACCATCTCACTGAGCAGACGCTCACAACGCCTATATTTTAATGTTGAGCCAGGGACACGCTGCCCAGGCTGGGCTCTGACTTGAGATCCTCCTGCCTCAGACTCCAGTGCTGGGATTACAGGCCTGTGCCACTGTAACTGGTTATAAGTTAATTGTTCTGAAAATAAGATAAAGCATTATCAGGTTTGTTTTCCTTTGAATTCCGGATTTAAAAAAAGAAAACCAGGAATGTATCTTTCCTAAAAAGAACAACTGAAGGCAAGCACAGCAGCACATGCCTGTGATACTTGTAGCCTGGGAGGCTGAGGCACGAAGACTGCCTGAGAGGGCCAGCCACAGCCGCTGAGCCAGACTGTCTGTCGCAAGGAATTTAAAAAGGGGCTAGGGAGGTAGTTCAGGGCAAAAGCTCTGGGCTCAGTTTCCATTTAACAAAAACCAAAGAAAAGGAAAAGCTAGCTAAATATAAGACAGAACAGGAAAACTAAAGATTTAAGTCAAGAAGTATACTTTTTGGTTGTTTTTTGTGGGTTTGTCTTTGATAATGGGAGTTAACTCAGGACCCTGAGCTTGCCAGGCAGGTGCTTGTGCCACCGAGCGATATCCCCAGCCTTTTTTTGTCTTTTTGAGATAGGGTCTCGCTAAACATTTAGGCTGGACTTGAGCTTACTTTGTAGACCAGGCTGGTCTTGAACTCACATTGATCCTCCTGTCTCAGCCTCCTGATGTGCACCTGGCCTTGTTCTGTTTTTTTTTTTTTTTAAGGCGGTGTCACACTACCTAGTTGAGGATGGCCTTGAATTAAGTACAAATTTAAAGTTAGACGAATTGTACAACCCTTGGCTAGTCATTTTACTTCTTTGGTTTGTAGGTGTCTGGACCAAAAAATGAAAGAATATTAAGGGACTAGAATAAAAGTTTCTGACTTTCCATTTGTTTTTTGTAGTACCAGGGAATGAACTCGGGACCTTGCGCTTGCCAGGCAGGTGTTTAAGCCACTGAGCTATCTCCCTGGCTCCATTTGGTTTTGAAAGTTATGCATATATAACTCCGTTATGGCTTAGCCCTAGAATGTCCCCCAAAAGGCTCATGTGTCCAGAGGCGGAGCTTCTAGGAAGTGACTAAATCACAGAGCACTGTAATTGTCAATAAATTAAACCCAGACTGAAGGCTCCACCTGGGATGCAATCAGGTGAGGAGAGGAGGGTCGCCCTGGAGGCGACACCCAGGTGTTCTTCCCTTGCATGCATCTCTCCGCCTACCCTGCTCAGCAGCCAGGAGGTGAGCAGCTGTTCCTCACCAGCCCCTTCTACCACACCCCTCTTGGCTGGCATCCAGCTGACTAGGGACTGAATCCTCCCAACAGTGAACCAAAGCAAGCCTCTCCTGCACTTTGAGTATTGCTATTTTGTCCTAGCAATGAGAAAATAACTACAACAAATGAAGTGTAAATTCATGTGAAGAATAGACATTACAGCATCATTCATGGAAAGGAACAGAAAAAGACCCACAGGCAGGGCACCTAAACTCGGCCCAGTGCTTACACAGCTGAGACCAGCGGTCAGAAAGTAAGCAGCTTCCCCATGAATCACTCATTTCTACCTCACAGCAAGGCAGAAAATGAAACCATCTCCGAAGTGCAGGATGTGGTGGGCTTCCAAAACCTTGGAAGGCGGAGGCAAGAGGATCACAGCTTCAGGGTCAGCCGGAAGCACATAATGGAGCCCTGTCTCAAACTTTTTTTTTTTTTTAATATTTATACAAATAAAGCCTTTTTGCTTTTATTTTTGGTGCCAGGAATTGAACTCACAACCTTGTGCTTGCCAGGCAGGGGCTGTGCCAATGAGCTATCTCCCAACACTTTTTTTATAAATTGGACTAATACTTAGCTATTTAAAGCCAAGCTTGAAAGAATATTTAGGACACAAAAAATTAGCTTACTCTATAGACTACTGTAGACAAAAAGTAAAAGTGTAACCACTTGCAGACTTATATAGGAGATCTTTTTTTCTCTTTATACTCTTCTCTATTTTCCATTTTCCCAAATGTCCTATACGAATATCTTACAACTTCACATTGTGAGATGAGTCACTAACACATTCTTGAAGGTTTGGGCCACTGATGATAGCTGCATGGCTGAGGCTTATACCACCCGACGGAAGTGTCCCATGTCCCCAAGGAGACAGTCACATGTGTATCACCAGTGGTTCAGGGTCATGAGAGCCTGGTGACTCATGCTTGTAATCCCAGCAAAGGGAGGTTGAGGCAGGAGGAGTGCCATGAGTTCAAGGCCAGCCTGACAGAACCACTTGGCAGCCAGACATAGGAATTTTGGCTGTGAACATGTTAACAGTTGGACTGACATAAATTTTTTTTCTTGTCTTTTTGATACAGGGTCTGGCTATGCAGCTCAGGCTGGCCTTGAGCTCACCTTGGAGCCCAGGCTGGTCTCAAACTCACAATAATCCTCCTGCCTCAGCCTCCTGAGTGCTGGGATTACACACCCGGCTTATGGACTGACATATTTTTAGATACTATACTGCAGAACACAGTTTGTTTTTAAATTCTGAGGTTTTACTCAGGGTTCTACATAAAGCAGATGCCTAAAGAACTCCATCAGCATCCCAGGGTCAACAAGCCAGAGAGGATTTCTCCAGATTTCTGTGCTGTCATTGGCCTCTTGTGTGTGTGTGTGGGGTGCTGACTTGTAGAGGAGGCTGTGAGCAGCACACAGGCACTGTCCACCCCCAGTAGGGTCTGCACCCACTGCTGTGAAGCAGCCCTGCCCCACGGAGCGGGAGACCCCACTCACCTGGGTCAAACCTCAGCACCAGGACACAGAGGACCAAGGCAGCGAGAAGGCTCCTTTTGAAGGGCAGAGAAAGGAAGTGGCTCACTGCAGAGTTCCAAAGCCGGCAAAGCAACCTCAGCAGGGCCAGGAACTTGTGAGAGAAGGAGCCTGGTCAGGGGACAGAGCACAACTTCAGGCTGAGTCAGGAGAATGGGCTTCCCTGGCTGAGCTATGGGCTGGGTTGTAAGAGCTGAGAAAAGGCCATGAAGAGGGTTTCCTTGTGTAGCTCACTAAGTGGTTCAAAAACAAATGCTAAAAGATCCAAGACTGCTCCAAGGACAGGCTGGACCCCTGCACTGTAGTGGGTAGACAGCACCTACTCAGCTGGCTCAGCCTGACGCCTGCGTTGATGGCTGCATCACTCTATAGCAGGCTTCCCATTATGGCCTGTGACACACGCAGAACACTGCACCAACCTGTCTTCCAGTTGTCATACTAACACAGCGAAATACAGTGCCTTTGATCCACACAGTGCAAGAGTTCAAAGCCTTGGCTTGCAAATGTAATCATTAGCAGCAGCTGTTATGGCCTGTGTCTAGTTGTCCCCCAACAGCCTCATGCAATCATTGGGGCAGCTTCTGGAGACTGTGATTAATTCGTGATCCAATGCTGGGGTTATGGGTGTGAGTGCTGCACCCGCCCAGGGGCAGAGAGCCTGAATACAACGTAAAGAGGAGAGAGGCTTGCTAGCTGCCACAGCCGCTGCTCCTCCCTTGGCTATGCCCACCCCACCCCCTCCCCGCACCATGAACTGCTGTCCTCTGCCATGTGTGACTTTGCCTTGGAGCCAGCCAAATAAGGAATGAAATCTCCACTAACTGTGAGCTGAATAAACTTTTCCTTCCTTAATTTTGGGTGTTGGGTACTTTGTCCCAGAAATGAGAGAAAAGTCACCGAGATACCAGCCCAAGGAGATACCAGCCCAAGTGCAGGTGGCACAAGTCCTCACAGAAATTTATTTATTTATTTATTTATTTATTTATTTATTTATTTAGTGTGTGTGTGTGTGGCCAGCTCAGCCCACCAGGGGGCAGGGCGGGCTGGCATGTGGTGCTGGGGGATCGAACTGTGGTCCCTGTGCTTTGCCAAGCTTGTTCCAAGTAGGTGCTTTAGACCACTGAGCCATCTCTCCAGCCCCCAGGCTGGTGCTCTTAAGCACACAGAAAAAACACTTTGGAAAAGATTACAGTTTGCAAATAACAATAACAAAGCTTTCATGTAAGTTAAAAAAAAATGGTGGCTCATGGCTGTGCTTCTAGCACTTGAGAGGCTGAGGCAGGAGGATCACAAGTTTGAAGCCACTGTGGACTCCAAAGCAAAATTCTATCTCAAAAAACAACACAGAAGAAATAGGACTATTACATATGCTACCAAGAGAAAAACAGGGATCTGTGAGTAAAGACTACAAGGTAAAAAAAAAAAAAAAAAAAAATCACCCTAGGAAAGAACTTCCCTATAGAAATGTATGGAATTAACTTTCTGTCCTGGGAAGTACTCACATACAGATTCAAGGAATAGAAACCAAAATGATTCAGGGAAGCACCTAGAATACAGGGACATGAGAACTGGCTGGGCTCTGGCCTGGCCGAGGCCTGATGGCGCACACACCCCAGGCAGACAGAAGAGTGAATGTTCCTCTGCTCCGCCAGGCAGCAGCAAGTAGGACTTTCTTTAAGGTTTTTTTTTTGTTTTTGTTTTTTGTTTTTTGTTATCTCTTTGAGACAGGGCTTCTCTCTGCAGTTCAGGCTGGCCTTAAACTCACTCTGCAGCTCAGGCTGGCCTCAAATTTGCAGCAATCTTTCTGCCTCAGCACCTGACCACACCTGCAGGAAATAGGATTTTCTTTTCTTTTTTTTAATTGGTGCCAGGGATTGAACTCAAGACTTTGTGTTTGCCAGGCAGGAGCTTATGTTACTGAGCTATTTCCCCAGATCATAATAGCACTTTTTTTTTTTTTTTTTTTTTTTT